ACCACTGGAGCCACAGTGCCACTTCTGGCTTTTTTCTTTTTGCTTATGTGGTGCTGAGGAATCGAACCCAGGGCGTCAGGCGTGCAAGGCAAGCGCTCTACCACTGAGCCACCTTCCCAGCCCTAAATGATTGTTTTAAATGATTAAAAGTGATTCCATACCACTGAGACTCTATTTTCAAGAGTTTCATTGGGGGGGGAAACCTCTGCTTTGCTCTAAGCTGCAAATTCACTTGCTACTCCCATCTGACAGAGCCACAAAAATGTTTTAATGACCATAGTTTTGTGCCTTGACAGCTTCTTCCATGAGGAGAAAGACTAGAGGACTCCCTGAAAGTTCCACACTGGACACATATTAGTCATAATAATTAGAGGGTTTTTTTTTTGGTCAGTTGTGGGCTTGAACACATGGCCTGGGAGCTGGCTCTAAGCCATTTTGCTCAAGGCTAGTGCTCCAACACTTTGAGCCACAGTGCTGGTTTTCTGGTGGTTAATTGGAGAGAAGAGTTTCACAGACTTTCCTGCCTGAGCTAGCTTTGAACCAGGATCCTTGGATCTTAGCCTCCTGAGTAGCTAGGATTACAGACATGAGCTACCAGTCCCCGGCTTAGATTTTTTTTTCTCTAAAGTAAGTATTATGTATATCTTCTCATGGAAGAGTCCTGAGAAAATCATGGAGTTTATATAGGGAATAAAAGATGTACTAACAACTTTAATGACAAGGGCCACAATATTCTTCCAGGGTCAGCATAGATGCTCTTACCTGATTTGGCAGGCTTCAATGGTCCCATCTCATGTCTATGGATACTAGAAGTGAGAATCTTTTTAAGTTGGAGTTCATTGGTAGAGCTAGGATCCTTTAGGGGAAAAAAACCAGAAGACTTGTAAGTCCTGAGATAAACAGAAAAAAGTTACAGTTACAGGAAGTGGCGCTGTAGCTCAAGTGGTAGAGTGCTAGCCTTAAGCTGAAGAGCTGAGGGACAGCGCTCAGGCCCAGAGTTCAAGCCCCACGACCGACCAAAAAACAAAACAAAACAAAAAAGTTACAGTTACAACATCATGCAAATCCTGTCTTGGGCACTATGAATTTAATAATGAAAAGAAAGCAAATAGATGATCTATAGGTAAGGAGAAGAAAGGGCACCAAGTCCCTTCATGAGAAACTCATATTAATAAAACCTAAGGGGATTTAACACCTTCCACACTTGGAAGAAAAGATTGTCTAATTATATAAATCATGTAAATAGAATAACGAGAATAAGTTAACTTGAAAACAACCTTTTTCTTTTTTCTTTTTTTTTTTGGGGGGGGGGAGAGGGGTCCGGTC